ACCAGGTCAGGCAAAACCAGGAGCCAGAAGCTTCTTCCAGGTCACCCATGTGGATGGAAAGTTCCCAAACTCTTGGACAATCTTCTGCTGCTTTTCACAGCGTATTAGCAGACAGTTGAATTGGAAGTGGAGCAGCTGGTACACAAACTGATGCATATATTGGATGCTGGCATTATAGGCTATAGGTTTACCAACTAAATCATGCCAGTGCCAGTAGATAACCATTGTGAAGAATTAAATCTATTAAATCCCAAGTTTAGCTTTCTTTCTTTTGATTTCTTTAATACTTAGGATCAATCAGAACGTCTTCCATCACTTTAAACTTAATTTTCATTGTTTGTTAACTGCCTTCATTATCTTTCTTATAATGCCATTTGATAACATCTCTCAAATTCTATATTCTTTGTGTGCACACTTTTACTAGTTTTTGCCATGGGTGTCTCGGGGAGTCTGGCCAGCAGACTCAACCCAGGGCCCGTGACCACGGTTTCTCGGGCGAGAAAAGAACGAACGATGCTTATCGGTCTTCAGTAGACTTTTTATTAGAGAAAGTAGACGTGACAGAGGTAGAGTGGAAGGAGGAAAGGAGAGGAGAGAGAGAGAGAGCTTCCTCCTTACACCCGCGGCTTATATACAATATGTGACCAATCAGGAGCAAGCTAGAGTCCATGCATCAGGCACACCAATCTGGTCTCTGTTCACGTGAAGGGCACGCATCCTTTGGCCAATCAGGTGAGGTGTCACGCAGCAGGCAGGCATGCAGACTCACTGCGGGGGTCCTGGTGCCATCTTGTTGTTTACTGTGACTGGATCCCTCCCCCTCCAGAGAGCCCCGGCAGTAGGAAAGCCCCTGGTCAAAACCGAAAGTAAAAACCTCCGCCTAGCAATGCCGCCGCGGACTATTCCCCAACAGAAACACATACACACAAATGTTTATAGCAGTTTTAACATCCTTCAATAGTTGAATTGCTAAACAAATGTATATGTCTTTAGATGTACAGTAACATTATTCAGTGGTAAAAAGTTATACGGTCTCAGGTCATAAAAAAAAACAAAAAGAACAATTACATTCACATTACTAAATGGAAGAAGCCACTTTGAATTGACTGTGTAAGTATGATTCCAAATATACAGCATTCTGGCATTCTGGAAAAAGCATCATGGATATATTGAAATGATCTGTGCAGATTTGTGTTTTTTTGGGTCAAGTCAGGCAAGAGATTAATGGGCAGAGTAAGGGTTTCAGAGCATTCAGAGAGTTCTGTGTGATACCATGATGATAGATGGCTCCACGTGCTCGGCAAAACTCACAGAACTGTACAATGCAAACACCGAAATCTAATTTAAATGATTGAATTTAATTAATGGTAATTTATCAATATCAATTCATTAACAGTAACATATACTCTACACTGAAATATCAATAACACAGGAAATGACGTGCAGAATACAGGGTTATATCGGTACCCTGTACTTTATCAGCTCAATTTCTCCATAGAATTAATAGGGATATAGAAAATGTTTTAATCAGAAATAACTCTTACAACCTTACCATTTTATCTCTGTTTAGATGATAATTCATTTTATCAGAGGATAGAGATAATGTAGAGATCATGTTCAAGTTACTGGTTAATTAAAAAGTTTTTAGTAGTCATTCAGAGTAAAACTGAACACATATTATGTGTACATAAACCTCTCTCTTTTTCTGTCTCTTTCCTCCCTGTCTTGCCTACACAGACACACACACATACACACTTTTGAGAGCACTAAGATTCTTTTGGAAAATTTTCTATTTCTAGCTATAAACTCTCCAAATGGTCGTGGAATTTATACTGTACTAATCCACTTAATATGTGTTTTGTGTCCCTCTTCATCCTGAATTCTTAGAAAACTACCTTTTTCTATAAGATTTTGTAAATGTGTTGTTTCTTTTGATTGGAAATACCAGAAAATTTTAAAATAAAATGCACAACTATGGAATGATTATGACTGTTCATTAATAAAAGGATGTTGAATATTAGTAATATTTCTCTCTCTCCTTGTCTATCCTTCTCTCTCTCTGTAACTCTGACTTTCAAATAAATTAAGAAAACCTTTTTAAAAGTGGGACAGATTTTTGGCATAAAGGGATAAGCTGCTACCTGTAATGCTGGCATCCCATGTGGCCACTGATTCTAGTCCTGGCTGCCCTGCTTCTGATCCAACTCCTTGATAATATGCTCGGGAAAGCAATAGAAGATGGCCCAGGTCCCGCTTGCACACACATGGGAGATGTGGATGATGTTCCCGTCTCCTGATTTCAGCCTGGCACAGCTTCACTGTGGCAGCCATTTGGGGAGTCAACAAATGGATATCAGATCTCTGTCTGTCCCTCTCTTCCTCTGTAACTCTGATAGGCAAATAATTAAATGAATATTTAAAATAGTAACACTTTTTGGATATATTCTAAAGACTTCTATATACTTTTGTTTTTAATAAAGGATTGACATTAAAATATTCAGGAAAATGCATTTGCTAATCTGAGAAATGTGAACATGCCAACGCCTAATAATATTGTTGGTAACATTTTGGCAGTGATGGCCAGCTCTAATTATTCTATTATTGAACTCTATTAAATATATCTGGTTGACTAAAACACACAGTGAGCAATTTCTTTCTACTACAGCAGAGATGGCCCTGAACTATTAGGACACTCAGATTGAAACAATGATTTCAACCTCACATTGACCTTTCATTCCTCACTGAGTTCAAATCCTAGGTTCCTCCATTCTGCAGATCAGAGGTTTAGTTAGAAGCTACCTGTAAATATTATCCATCTGTCCTTCGTGTGTATCTGAGGTTGTAATGTCCTCTGATAGAGGAGTGATCCACATGGTCACATTACATTTGACACAAGAGAAAGTGATCCAAAGGTTATCTGAAAGGTTGCTCAGTCCCAAAACAGAAATCTTCAGGATTAAGTGGTTTGGTGAGAATGTCACACAAAAGCAAAATCAGAATATTTGTAATATATTGAAACCTACAATGAGAAAAGCCAAGAATGTAAAATAGGCTAAGGAATTGTTATAGATAACCAGATCTATAACATCAATAAAGTATCGGTTCATTTATTCAGTTGAACAAATAGGCTTAGATAGAAAAATTGATAGCAGCTGACAGGACAGGATGGTAGATCAGAAAAGGAATGATTTTTTCCTAACAGCCAAGCAAAATATCTGATAGACTTAAAGAGGCTTAAAAGATAAAATCCAAAATTACTTTCATGTATGTTAAATGGCATTTAATTATCACATCACGCAGACAATAGGAAAAGCAATCTAACTGAAATACCTGAAAAATATCACTGACTGGTAAATCTGAATATAAGTAATCAATATATTTAAACTAAAATATGACCATAATGATTGATAAACAATAACTATTAAAAACACTCTACTGCATGAATTCAACTATCATTTAGATTTATTAGTCTCAACACATTAGCAGAAAGGTGTTGTCAGTGTTCATGGAATTTACTATCAACAATTTTTCTCTTTTTAATAAAATACCTATTTTGGTCGGCACTGCTGCTCAATAGGCTAATCCTCCACCTTGCGGTGCTGGCACACCGGGTTCTAGTCCCAGTTGGGGTGCCGGATTCTGTCCCCGTTGCTCCTTTTCCAGTCCAGTTCTATGCTGTGGCCCGGGAAGGCAGTGAAGGATGGCGCAAGTGCTTGAGCCCTGCACCCGCATGGGAGCCCAGGAGAAGCACCTGGCTGCTGGCTCCGGATCAGCACTATGCACTGGCCGCTGCACACCGGCGGCAGTGGCCACCGGAGGGTGAACCAACCGAAAAACGGAAGACCTTTCTCTCTGTCTCTCTCTCTGTTCACTCTGCCTGTCAAAAAATAAAATAAAATAAAATAAAATAAAATACCTATTTTGGTAAAGGGAAAACAGGTCTAGAATATGTACTTTACTGAGGCAATAGGAAAGTTATAAACTCATGAGACCAATGGAGTATAAATGGCAATAATTCACTTATTAGATTCACCTTTACAAAAGACCTTGTCTTTCAACTCTTAGGGTATACTTAGCCAACAGCATTCAGCTATGGTGTCTTTTGGATCTGCTTTTGATTTTGAGTAAGGTCATGGTGTTCCTAGGCATTTTCCCCCAAGCAATTTTTTTTAATTTATTTTTTTATTTTTATTTTTTTTGCGTTGCACGGTACATAGGATCTGGCTATTTTACTCCAGAAATTTCTATTGGAGTGTTTGAACATTGAATTGTATTTCAGGCTGAAACTGCTCAGTCCTGTGGCTGCCTCCCTTTCCTTTTACTGATGCTTTATTTACTTCACAGGAGTCTTTTCCTTCTTCACCTTGCTTCCTCCTCTTTTTTTCTTTCACATAATTGTCCTTCTAGTAAAAACCATCACATTCAAATTTCATTGCAGTACCTGACTTGAGTGGTCCTGAATTTACACAGTTGAGGAGTGGTTTGTTAAATCAAGTGCTACACTGGATTGGGGACTGAATCATCCCTACCTCACTGGTAACATGCATGTCATCCAAAGTAGTAGATAGGACATCAATGTTCTCTGTACAATGTGAGTTTTATTGTTAAGTAGTCACTAATTCTTTATGAAGGCTGTTTGAGCAGAGGGCAAACTCTGCATCTGCAATAAATAAAGCTTGAAAACTTGTTGGGGAATAGTCCGCGGCGGCATTGCTAGGCGGAGGTTTTTACTTTCGGTTTTGACCAGGGGCTTTCCTACGGGCGGGGCTCTCCAGAGGTGGAGGGATCCAGGTCACAGTAAACAACAAGATGGCGCCAAGACCCCCGCAGTGAGTCTGCATGCCTGCCTGCTGCGTGACACCTCACCTGATTGGCCAAAGGATGCGTGCCCTTCACGTGAACAGAGACCAGATTGGTGTGCCTGATGCATGGACTCTAGCTTGCTCCTGATTGGTCACATATTGTATATAAGCCGCGGGTGTGAGGAGGAAGCTCTCTCTCTCTCTCCTCTCATTTCCTCCTTCCACTCTACCTCTGTCATGTCTACTTTCTCTAATAAAAAATCTACTGAAGACTGATAAGCATCGTTCGTTCTTTTCTCTCCCGAGAAACCGTCGTCGTTGGCCCTGAGTTGAGTCTGCTGGCCAGACTCCCCGAGATGCCCGTGGCAAGTGGTGCCATGACTCGGATTCCTCGGTGAGGGACAAGCAGCGGAAGAAGGTAAGAAAACTTAAAACATACATATACGGAAATCTAGGGGATAAAGCCTAGGACCACTGCGGTTTTGAGTAAGCAAATCAGGTTGCAACCATGGGAAATACACCCTCAGCTGCCAAAATGTGGCTGCTCCTCAACCAATTGTTGAGAGCGACGGGGACGTCTGTCAAAGCTGCAACTGTCTGCTCTTTCACCAGAGCAATGGCGAAAGTTTCACCGTGGTTCATAGAAGGAGGGGCGCACGGTAGGAAGGGAACTGCATGCTGCTAAAGTTGAAGAAACGGTCTTACGGATGTGGTACTTGGTTGATAATGCTTTGGCTACAGACTCAGAAACCATAGGACAATTGCTGGATGAAGGTTTAAAAATTTTAGAAAAGATAGGCAAGGATTCCAAGGATAGCAGCAGCAAAGATTCGGAGGAGGAAAGTGGCACTGGTGGAGGGATGTCAAGTAAGAAGAGCGTCCCTCCCTCTGATATCTCCCCACCACTTTATCCTCTGCTGCCTTCCATCCCGCCTTACCCTGAGGACTCTCCCCACTGTTGCTGCCTTGCTAGCAGTGCCCCACAGTGGCGCCCCATTGTACTCGGTTCGGGGAGGACGGCAGTGAAGGAAAAGGGAAGGGCCATGACTCCCGTTGACCCCGAGGAGGAGGAGCGAGACAGCCCTGTCGGCAGGGGAATCCAATCCCGCCGAGGGCCAATTCTGGATTGGTCACAATTCTATAAACCACAACAGATATTCCCGGTATTCATAGATCCACAGGGCAATAGAGGTTGGACACCTGTGGACTTTAAACTTCTTAAGGAATTGCAGCAAGCAGTACAACTTTATGGGCCCCATGCAAATTTTACTAAGGCAGTCCTTGAAGGCATGGGATCAGGAGGCCTTATAGTGGAAGATTGGAGAAACATAGTCAAGGCAGTTTTGTCAGGGGGTGACTATCTTCTATGGGCTGCAGCTTATGGGGAGCTAGCAAAAAAACATGCACTGGCCAATAGGGCCAGCGGGCAACCTGCTTGGAACGAGGATATGTTAACTGGAGAAGGAGCATTTGACACCGAGGATGTGCAAGCACGGTGTCCCAATGAAGTACTGATGCAGGTCAGGGACATAGCTCTTCAGGCTTGGAAAGTGGTCCCAAAAAGGGGAGAGGTTAAACACAGTCTTATGAAAATAACCCAAGGTCCCAATGAACCATATGCAGACTTTATTAACAGACTGTTTGAGGCTGTGGGCAATTTGTTTGAGTCGGTGGATGAAGCCACCCCATTGTTGAAGAGATTGGCCTATGAACAAGCTAATAAAACATGCCGTACGGCGCTTAGACCCTGGCAGCATAAAGACATTCCCACTTTCATAAAAATATGTCGGGATGTGATGGACGATATTGCGTCCGGCGCTCATGCTGCTGTGGCCATGGCAAAAACCATCCGAGGCAAGGCCACAGTGTTTTAACTGCGGCAAAGAAAGGCACCTAAAAAAGGACTGTAAGGAGACTCGGATACAAGGCCAACAGCCAGGACTGTGCCCCAGATGCGGGAAGGGTAATCACTGGGCCAATGAATGCTACTCAAAAACGGACAAGGCGGGCAATCCTTTAGAGCAAAAGGTGAATAGACATCCCCAAAAACCAAAAAACAGGAGCCGGGCCCCAGCACCCCGGGGCCCCAAACAACAGTGGGTGCGAGAGACTTGGGAAAACAACAACCAACAGGTATATCCTGTTTCGAACTCCGAGCCACAACTGCCTCAATATTAACCCCCTCAATGGGAACGCAGGCAGTGGAGGTAGAGCCGACCACACGACAAGCCCCCTTGCAAGGTGTAGCGCTCGTCATTGACAAAGCCACCAATTCACTTAAAGGGCTCCAGATTGTCCTGGGATTACTGACTTTCCCGCAAGAGAAATTAAAAGTGTTCTTACAGACCACGAGCGGGGCGGCACTAATCGAGCCAGGGCAGCCTCTTGCTCAAGCACTCCATTGGCCTACCGTTGCAGACTATAGGGGGAAGCAGGGAATTCACCTTGCGGCCTTAACTATGACATTGGATAATCAACCTATTTGTGCCTTAACAATTAAAGGAAAGACTATTAGGGGATTATTAGATACTGGGGCCGATGTGAGCATTATTGCACGGAAGAATTGGCCCTCCTCCTGGCCCCTGCAGGAGTCAGACAATACACTTGTAGGATTAGGAATGATGGAGGTGCCACCCAGGAGCGCAGAAGTCCTAGAATGGCAGGATGAAGAACAACATAAGGGACAGTTTCAACCATATGTATGTAACCTCCCCATCACGCTGTGGGGGAGAGAAGTACTGGTACAATTAGGACTCACACTCACAGATGGTGACAGTAAAGCTGGTGTGGGCTGGCAAATGATGGCAAAAATGGGATGCAAACAAGGAGGCTTAGGTAAACATGGACAAGGCGCAGTTGAGCCCATCAAAGCAAAACAAAGGAAAGACAGGTCAGGACTGGGTTTTCAAAAGGGGCCACTGAACAGCAGCCAATTCCCTTAACATGGCTTATGGACACCCCAGTGTGGATTCCGCAGTAGCCCCTACCTTCTCCTAAGTTGGCTGCTGTTAAACAATTGGTTAAAGGACAATTAGAGGCAGGACATTTGATGAGGTCCACCTCGCCATGGAACACACCCATCTTTATAATAAAAAAGAAATCTGGTAAATACCATCTTCTTCATGATCTCAGAGCCATTAATCGGCAGATGCAACCTATGGGAGCCCTGCAACCAGGCCTCCCGGTGCCAACTATGATACCTCAAAACTGGAAAGTGCTAGTAATAGACCTAAAAGATTTCTTCTTTTCCATTCCACTTCACCCACAAGACACCCAACGCTTTGCCTTTACAATTCCCGCTGAAAATCATGCAGCCCCCGACGAACGTTATGAGTGGAGAGTCTTGTCACAATGCATGACAAATAGTCCTACTTTATGTCAATTATATGTGGCACAGGCCATCTTGCCAGTAAGACAACAATTTCCTGAGATTAAAGTGCTACATTATATGGATGATATCCTCCTTGCCACTCAGGACGACCACACCATGCTGGCGGCATTTACTGCCTTGCAAAAACAACTCACTAATAATGGTCTACAAATAGCTCCAGAAAAAATTCAATCTCAAACTGTTGTACAGTACTTGGGCCTAAAAGTAACCCCCACTAAGGTCATGCCTCTTGATTTTAATATTTCAACACATGACATAAAAACACTCAATGATCTCCAAAGGCTCTGTGGGCACTTAAATTGGATACGACCTTACTGTAAATTAACCACTGAAGAGATGCAACCTCTATTTGGACTTCTAGAAGGGGATTCTAATCTTAATTCTCCCAGGCAATTGACCCCTCAGGCAAAAGAGGTGATCTTCATGTTCGAACAAAGACTCAAAACCACTGCCATGCAGTGTTGTGAGCCTGCCCAAGAAATTCAAATTTTGATTTTCATAGAGTTTCACTACCCATATGCCCTACTCTGGCAAGGAGGGCCTCTCTTGTTCATATATCCTCATAATCATTTACCAAAAGTAATACTCCCATATGGAGAAGCATTGGGAAACCTGGCTATACAGACTGCCAACAAGGCTTTAGAACTTTCGGGACGTGTGCCACACTGATGTGTGACACCATTCGACTCTCAAGTAATTAGGGAATGTGACAAGGAAGTTTGGCAATGGGCTCATATGATGGCACACTTAAGTATAGAAATTGATAATCGTTATCCCAGTCATCCCTTTATTTCATTCTGTAAAAATGTACCTGTACATTACTTCAAAAGGGTGTATAACAACCCTATTACAAATGCCCCAATAGCCTTTACTGACGGTGCAAAAGGGGGCACCGGAGCCAAGGTAGTAGGAGCTCAACGTCATTTCATACTTACTATGTCTCCATCCCCTCAGCATGCAGAACTAGCCATAGTATCAAAAATATTGCTTCTCTACACACAACCTATTAATATCCTATCCGACAGTGCCTATGTAGTT